GGTTTAGGGTTTGTGGTTCTGCGATCTCTTTGTCATTATAGTTGTTGTTTCGTGTTTTTCTGTTCACTCGGTTTTTGGTGTGACACTCTGAACCCCCTCAACCTGTGCCTTATGAAGCCGGGACAAGCGACCGCGGTCGAGATTACAACATTGGATGTGGTACGATAGTTCAATATGTTCGTAAAACAACATCCTTAAAATCCTATCACTTGTTTGCCTTATCACTTTTCGATCGTGGTCACTGGCGGGGCAGCTTGGGTACGCACAACTTCTTGTGTGAAAACATGGAACACGCACGCGTGCGAGTGTGTGTGTGTGTGTGCGTGTGGGTGTGCTTGTCTTAGGTAAATACACACATGCACATGTATATATGTATATATATATATACACATACTATCTTGGTTGTGGCTGCGGCGGCTGCGGCGGCGGCGGCATAGTTACAATATAAGGGACCCCCAAAACCCTATTTTAAGTATTCATGCCCTTACATCAGCTTTTATTGGTGTGGTTGTGAGCTTGGGTTTGGGATTCTAGAGCGTTAGGGCCTACGGGAGTAGATCTTCGGGAGTGTAGATCCTCTGGGTTTTTCAGTCCAGGGTTCAGGGCTCCTAAACTGTAAACCCGAAGCCCTGAACCGTTCAGGGTTAGGGCTTGCGGGTTTAGGGCTTGGGGTGTGTAGAGCCTTAAGTTAAGTTCAAGCGTGAAGAAACCGAAAAGAATGTTCAGCAGATGTCTTCCCATAGATAATCTTGTTTAGCTCCACGGTGTCACCTCTCTCTCCCCTCGGATTTCCTAGGATTGGGGTTCAGGTGTCGACCGAGATCCCCGCATATTACTCTCTGCTATAGCCAAAATGCTCTTTACGGTTTAGATTTCAAGGTTTCGGGCTTAGGGGTTTATGATTTGGGGTGTGGGCGTTTAGGCTTTCCGGTTTAGGGTTTAGGTCTGTGAAGGACCGTCAGGCATCGATAAAAGGGTACACACGGGTCGGCGGGGTTCAGGATCCGTGGTTAAGACTAAGAGTAGTATACAGGTTGCTTTCAGAGTTCTACACGGATTCTAGAAGGGTCTGCCAGAGCTTTAGGTTGCATCGAGATGATCATGTTGGTAAGGAGGGTGTTACATATCGCAATCGAGGTGGTTGCCAGTAGTCGTAGCACATTCTCGTGAAGCGTTCCGGGGTTGCAGCCCATCCACCCTATATCCCAAACCCTAAGCCCTAAACCTTAAAGAACCCCTCAACCCTACCCTAAACCCCTAAACAATAAAACCCTGAACCCGTAAGCCCATCTAACCACTGAGGACATTCGCCAGGGTGGCATGCCAGAGGCTTTTGAGGCGGCCAGGGGCTCTTCGTACCCATACCCACCGGTCTAATTCGAAGCAGCCCTTTATGTTTTAGGGTTTAGGGTTTAGGTTTAGGGTTTCGGGATTGGCAAGATGGCCTTCTGTTTATAGGCCCTAACTGTTTCCTCTTTTGGGTTTCATAGGCTACAGGCTCCCTAAACCCTAAACCCCAAACCCTAGAAGAAGAGGGTTCTCTGTTTGGGAACGTCTGAACCCGGGTCTCCCTCACCCTGCAGCCCGAAAACCCGAACCTTGAACACACCCGACACCGGTTTGGGGCTCTAGGGTTATAGGGTTTAGGGTTTCAAGCCGAAGCCTGCAACCGGAAACCCCAAACGCACAACCCCAAGCCCATAAGATACTGTTGATGGACAAAATCCTGCATGAACTTATATACCTAAACTATGGGATTTATGGTACTATACTACATTTGGGTCATGCAGAATTTTGTCCATCAGCCGTAGCACCCACTTCGGAAGGCAACCCTAAACCCTAAACCCTAAACCCTAAACCCTAAACCCTAAACCCTAAACCCTAAACCCTAAACCCTAGGCGTCTTGGCTCAGGTGTGTTTATCGGATTGATAACCCACCTTTGCCTCTAAGACCCCGCGCGGCTTTTTGCCCGCCTACACGGCTGGTGTCCGCAAGAGCGGCCAGTCTGTGTACCTCTACATCCCCCCTCTGCCATTGGGGTTTGTGATCATTTGGTGGCCACCTGTACGCTCTGCGAGGGTGGTCCACAACACTCCCGGCTCCGCCGCTGGAGTTAAGGTCGCATGGGAAGCGGCCTCCACCTCTTCACTGTTTGGTTGGTGGTGAATCTACTTTTCTGGTTCAGCGGTGCCCCCAAGGGCCATCTACACGATTCCGTACGAGCCGGCCTGGCACCGCAGGCAAAGGAGAGCCCGGACAGCTGCAAGGACCGTTTTGCGGAACTACACCTCCGGGATCCTCTCCGACCAGACGAAAGTCAAGAAGGCCATTGGTACCCTGGGTGGGCACCACTCGGCCTCGACTCTCCCGACAAGAGCAATGGCACAGATGAAAAACAAGTTACAGTGGTGGTGTTGGGACTGCAGGCAGTATGTGAAAGGCAGTGCCAATTTCTGCCCCGGTTGTGGACAGGACCGGAGCTATGCGACCTACACCCCACCTCAACGCGAAGCACCTTGGAGGACGGATGGCTGGGACACCGGATGGCGTACCTCAGCCTCCCCGCGCCGCAGGACAGACCAGTCACCTCGGCGCAGACAAGGCCCCAAGGGAGCTGGCAGAACAGGTGCCAAGGGCACCAAAGGCCCGAAGGGCAAGGGCCAGACAGCGAGCCAAGACGAAGCACCTGGCAAAGGAGCAACCGGTGGGGCGGAGTCCCTGTTGGCAGCTCTACCACGTGCCCCGCAGGCTTTGGCCATCAACATGCCCCAGGGAGCCTCGTCCGATGCGGATCGGGCGCCAGCCTACGGCGAGCTCATGGCGGCACTGGCCGCAGCGAAGGACGAGCTACCGGCTGGCCTACAGAGCATTGTGCAGCAGCACATGGTCGAGGATGTCCGATTGGAGTCCAAGGGACTCCACCGCTTAGTCAACCAGCAGAGCCAGGCCAAGAAGGAACTGCAAGGGGTGAAGCATGCCCGCGAGGCCTTCCTCTCGGAGTGGACGACCTATCTTGGATCATTGGCCGATCTGCTGGACAAGCAGATGGAAGCAAAAGCAGCCAATATGGCCAAGCTCGACGAGGCGGAGGCGAAGTGGACACAACAGCTGGCCACGGCATCTGCGGCCCTTTCGCAGCAGGCCAACTGCAAAGTCGAGGTCGAGACCATCGACGTGGAGACCATGGAGGACATCACGAACGAGGATGCTGCCTTGGAGGCGGCTCGCTCGGTGGCTGCGGACAGAGCGGCACAGGGCGAGGACGCGCTCACCTCAGCGCTACGTGCTGCCAAAACGGCAGCGGAACAAGAACTTGGCAGCCACCGCGAAAGAACGCCGAGACGGAAGAAAGCTGGACAAGACGAGGACCCAGCCGGAGCAGCTGCAGCCGCGGAAGAAGTGGACAAAGCTGCAAAGACCAAGCCAAGCGAGGCCAAGCCCCCTCGCTAGGCCCCACGCCGAGCCGAAAGGGACCCGCGGGGCGAATCCACGAGCTTGGGCAGACATCTGTCCACCTCGTGGGCGATTTTGTGTCGCCGCATTTTGCTGCAGTACTTGGACTTTGCCTGGAGGCTGAGGTTCGCATGGACGCACAGGGGTGCCTCCTCGACGTACCGGTCTTTTCTGGCCATGACCCACGCCACCTGTGGGAGCAAGACGAGAATTCTATCTGGGGTGGACCGCCAGATGTCTACGCCGATCACGATCCAGTTGCCGAGAGCTCTACATACGGTATTGAGCGTGTGGCCCGAACCTTCCATTCTCTTGACGTGCGCCTCGGCCCGTCAATTGAGAAAGATGTGGCTCGGGCCCATGCGTGTGAGAGCTCGGTGAACTTTTCATTTATGAGCGCCTGCAGCCGTAGTAGTTGTGACATAGATGTACAGCAACCAGGTAGGCCGCTTTCGGGGCTACACTTGAGGCCACACACCCTCAATCTTTGCGTCTCCTTTCAGGGTTGCCAGACTCCGGCCCAACAACTTGCGATGACCTTGAGACGAGGTCTCAATCGGTGTGTTGCATATTGCCCTCTCCGGGCCGACGGCATTCCACTTGCCCAACGTTCCTTAGGCCCCCAGAACGACGATGATATTCTGGGGCCGCCGAACGAGCCGGGCCCACACAAGGCGGACAGCTCTTCTCCCACCAAGGACGGCTCATTCAAGCCCAGTAGAGCCCCAGTGCTCGGCCGTCCTACGACAGGTTCTTCTCTGTCGCAGCGTGTGCGTCCTGTTGACAGCACCGCAACCGTCCATGACACCATGCAAACTGAGAGCCTGGCCAGTCCTGCTCACCAGGAGCCATCCTCCCAGTCACAGCGTGTGCGTCCTGATGACCGCACCGCCACTGTCCAAGAGCCACCTGGCCGAGATGAGATAGGAGCTCTACAGTGCACAGCTCCCTCAACCGCCTATCTACAGCGTGTGCGTCCTGTCGACTGCACCGCAACTGTCCACGAGACCATGCAAACCATGCAAACTGCGAGCCCATCCAGCCTCGCCCACAAAGAGCCTCCTCCCCAGTCGCAGCGTGTGCATCCTGACGATCGCACCGCAACCGTCCAAGACCCACCTGGCCGAGACGATATCGGAGCTCCACAGCATAACCAGGTAATGCTGCCTGGTCAAGGTCGCGGACTCCCATCGCTGCGCCTGCAGATAGTTGCGAACATCCCCGTGTCCCCTGCGGAGCTGGACAGGCCCGAGGTTAGGGCGCAGGCCATCTCGAGCTTCCACTGGGCCACGGGCTTCCGCTCCATGGGCGCGGTAACGGGGAATGAAGGCCAATATGACCGCTATGTCATTTTTGATGTAGAGTCACACGTTCAAATACGTAGACTCCCCAGAGGATGGTCCATTGACCAACTGCTTGCGGACCTGATCGGCATCTTCCCGCGCCTGCGAAGCGTGCACTTTTTGCAACGCAAACTTTCGCATCTCCCGAGTGTACAAGTCTCCGTCTCCACCCGAGACTTTGCGGCGGACGGCTTCACCTTGCCGCTGGACTTCCGACCGCTCCAGGGCAGAATTTGCTCGTTGCAAGTAACCGCAGGACTCGAGCCTTGCCACCCCAGATGACCTTCATGACGTGCAGGCCTTCCGGGCATTTAGGGTTTCGACCGGTATGTTCCAGGTCCGAGAGCTCCGATCCCCCATTTTCTTTGGTGGGGCAGGGGCGCATGAGGTCACGACGGCTACCACCACTGCAGTCCATGCATTCGGCAGGGCAACCAACGACCCTACCATTCGGCTGATAGTGTTCCGTGGTGAACTTTCGGTCAGCCTCGACCTGCCGCCTCCTTTTACTGTCTTTGACGAGGCCATTGCTAGACTGCTCCAACATCTGAATCAGCTGCAACCCTTAGTCCAGGTGCAGGGCACCTGATGGGAGGGGCTTCGATCTGGGCTCTCAGCCTACCTTGTATGGGGGAGTGGTCGAATCCAGCTCGGAGATCCCCCAAACTAAAGTTAGGCATCGTGGCAAACCCCTCCCTCCAAGCATCCGGAACACAGACATAGTCGATGAGGCGTGTGAACTCGCCACCGGGGCTGGTCCAGGAAGAGAGCCGATTGCCAAGCAAGTCCCGCTGTGCCGATGGGCATAGACAGAATTCGTGGCAGAAGGTCTGGAAGCGGGTGGCATTGGCCCCGGAGGGGGTGGCTTCAATGGTGCTATGGCTGTCCGGGTGTGACTCAAAGGAGGCGTTGGCATCGATCATGCAAATGCGGATGTGGCCAGGAGGGACCCGGAGGTTAGCTTCCCTAAGGTCCTTCCACCATTGATCGATCACTGGCTGCGGGGCAGCAGAGGTGGGGGCGTGTGCAACCACACATGCAACCTTAAGGGTGCCGACACGCAGGAGCACAATAAGCAGCTGTGGCGTGGCTGTCAAGACACAGATGCTGTCACGCACTGGCTGCATCAAGTGTTCTCCCGCGCGCGCCCACGGGAGACACTTGGAGATCCAAACCTGGCATCCGCCCGCCCCAGAGCTGTCGCAATTCGAGGATACGACCCAGTAGTGTTCTGTCGCCTGCACACCTTCTTCGAGGTCACGAGCCTCCTGGAGCCCTGCGGGTGCACATTGTCGCTGGTGGAGGCCCTGATCAAGTAGAGCTTTGGCAGCGCGGCTCCGGGCTGAGAGACAGTTATAGGTAATCAAGTTCAGTGCCAGATGCCACTGTTCACTCTCGGGAGGCTGGGCGCTGAAGGAAGCAGTGGAAGCCCGGGTGGTGGGGTTCAGGTTGCAGGCCGTCAGCCCCCACTCCCCGCTGTCGCCTAGATGAGGCAGCTGTGCAGGCATGCATCGATTGGCACAAGTCATCCAGAGTCTTTCGACTGTGCCGTCTGCGATGCAGGCACGAAGATCCGGAGCCTCGAAGTTGAAATCGATATGGCACTGCTGCAGATTGGCCGTCTTGGCAACGGCATCAGCAGCCTCGTTTAGAGGCAAGCCACAGTGTGCCTCTACCTTGAGTGGGCATATCACAGATCCCTGTGCCCGGGCCAAGAGCAAGAGGCTTTGTGCGGCTCGGCCAGCTTTGTCTCTGGGATCGCAGCGGGCAACACCAAAGACTATGTCGAGGGCAGACTGGCAATCTGACGCAATCGTGGCTCGCTTGGTTTTATTGGCAGCGACGTAGGCGAGTGCGTGAAGCAACGCCCAGACCTCAGCGCGAAAGGCATTAGCCGGCCCATCTGACACGGGCACCTTGCCAGCTAAGGCGCAGATTTTGCACGGTCGGTGCTCTTGTTGCGCAGTGATTACGGCGGACCAGCTGGCACGCTGGTGCTGTGGGCAGTAGGAGCCGTCTGTGTAGATGAGCATTGCCTGAAGGGGGGACCGAGTGTCCACTGGCTCGAGTAGCTGCCATGTTCTCCTCGCGACTGGCAGCAGTTGTTTGGCTCGTGGGACCAAATCGGGAGGTGATTGTAAAAATGACACCAAGGCGTGCGCAGCCATCTCACAAGTCACACCGAAGTACGCTCCATGCCTAGGAGGCTCGACCAAAGATCCTAGCTTCAAAATGTTAGGGGCAGCATCGGGCCCAGGCTTCGCTCCCGGCACGGCCGCAGGGGTTCTTGGAAGGAACCGTCGGCCGAAGGGAGTCGGAATGCTGGTACGCGCAGCTGTGGGAGAGGGATCCTTGGGACAAGGGGGCGGGACCTGCGGTTCGTCTCGGCTGGGGAGCTGCAAGAGACTGGCGCCAACTTGGAGCATGGCAGTGGCCTCAGTAGGCTCGTCGTCATCAGCTCCGGGATCCTGTGGGAAGGCTCGTTGCTCGGCTTCATCGGCAGTGGGCTCATTGTGCAGCGGAATTGGTTGGGTATCCGCCTCTGCGTCAATGTCACTGGAATCAGGGGGAGGTGGGAGCTCGTATCGGCCGGGCTCGAGAACATCACCATGTCTGAAACCATCCCGTGGGAAGAGGATGGCATCATCCGCAGCAGGGATATCTCGCAAGATCCTGGTCTGCGGGGAGACCAGGAGCAGGAGGAAGTGCCCCGCAAAACCCGGTGCTGGCGTCAACACTGTGCGGAAGACCGAGTTCCTCGCCGCCGTGACAAAGAGGGCACCGTGTCTGCGATGAATCTCGGAGGAGATGAGCAAGTCCCAGGAAGGTGGGTGGTCGAGTCTCTGCAGATATGAGATTAGCTCGGCCGGATCAAGAGGGCGGCCCTGTGCGGCATGGATCCGGAGATCGCCGTGTTGAGGGCCCAGCACACAGTGTTGCATGGTGGCGAGGGCATCAAAACCTAACCTCCATCGCCTGTCCCTAAGCCTGGGCAGCAGCATCCGAGTAAAAACCGAAAGTGGGAACGGCCATGTAAAGGTGCCAAGAGGAGGCAGCAGATCCAACACAAAGCTCTGTGGGACGGCTGGTGGGGGTCTGCTGCCGTGGAGCGGTTGAATATAGTCGCCCGGCACAACCGTCCGCTGTGTGTGATGTGCCGGGGCGCCGTTGATGGCCGACGTCCAGTGCTGGTCCCGCCATGATCTTGGCGTGACAAACTCGCAGGCAAGTGTCCAGTGCACATATTGAGCGACCATGGCTCCGCCTATGCCCCTGGCGTCCCACAAGATGGGAACGGTGTCCCGCTCGTCGTTGACCAGCAGGACGACCTCCTGCAGGTATCCTAGTCTGGGCGGCATGGCTCTTGCCAAGGTGACCGTAGATCCTGCATGGGCCTCCTCCGGCACGCTCAGAACTGTCTGAGCGCTCACCTGCCTGCACCCGCTAAGAAGCCGCGAAATCCGGCGCTTTCGGAAGCATCCCTCGAGCTCATCCTCACCAGGCGCCGTGTGCGTGCAGTAAGGGACCGTCTGCGACGCCAACTGGCTTCGACTCTTCTGTACCATTGTTTCATCACATGGCGAGGCCAGGACAGCCGCGCTGCAAGCCGAAAGCTCCAGCTAGCTAGCTTGGCAGACCGCGCTGCCAAAGCAGCCTTTTCCTATTGTGCTCTCAATAAGGCCGTGCAGGAGGGTCTTGCGACAGATCGTGCCGACTTCACGCGGAGGGCAATCGAGCACGCAAGGGGCATGGGTGCTGCCGAGTTCGCACATCACCTACGAGCGGTCTTAAGGACTGGCCGGCGTTATCGAGCACCCCAGCTCCTCAGACCCCTGCTCGGCGACACTCAGACAGCCGCATGCGACTCGGACATCTTGGGCGCATTGGGAAAGCACTTCGCTACCCCCGAACGTGCAACCTTGCTTCCCAGCTCTGACTTAGTTACCAAATTCGATGGCGCCGTCCCAATCGCAGAGGGCACGGATTTCGAGCGGCTTCCTACCGTACCAGACCTTGCCGCGGGGGTTTTGGCATTGAAGCCTCGCAGAGCAGCTGGGCTTTCCGGCTTGGCCGCCGAGTTGTTTCGCTCGGATGCACTTGCTTCTGCCGCGGTGCTTTTCCCGCTGCTGGCCAAAACGGCGATTAGAGGTACAGGCCCGGCGCAGCACAATGGAGGACTGGCCCGGGCGATCCCCAAGGGCAAGCTACAGGCGAGCACCCCTGGAGGTTGGCGGTCTATCCTCCTACTGGAGCCCTCTGCCAAGATCATCCAACAGGCTTATAGGCCCCAGCTCATTACCTTCCTAGAAGGCCACATGTCACGATGCCAGCTTGGGGGTCTGCCCAACCGGCTGCTGGAACAGCCAAGCGCCATCGTGCGTTCGCACTTCGCCATGCTGCGGGCCACAGCGCAAGTCGGCGGTGCAGTCTTTATAGACAGCCGGGCGGCATATTATTCAATCATACGGGACTCCCTTGTTGCGAGCAAGGTCGAGCTGACCGCAGCACAGCTTCGTCGTCGTGCTCAGGCCCTGTTCCCAGGCTGGAGGCATTGTTCGGGCACTCCAGCTGCCGGAGCCCCTCGTGCGCTATCTGGAGTCCCAACTTGGGTCCACGTGGTTCTCCATGACCAACCCCGTTACAGCTGCTTATGTGGCCGATAGTGGAACAGCTCCGGGGTCTCCCATTGCCGACGTGCTCTTCTCATTTGTGTATGCGAGGTTTTTGACCCAGTCAGAAGAGCTGCTGATCCGGAAAGGCCACTATGTGCGCCTGTGCACAACCCAAGTTCTCGAGGCCGTGCCACCGCCTGCCCTGCCCTGCCCTGCCCTGCCCTGCCCTGCCCTGCCCTGCCCTGCCCTGCCCTGCCCTGCCCTGCCCTGCCCTCTGCCCTGCCCTGCCCTGCCCTGCCCTGCCCTGCCCTGCCCTGCCCTGCTGCCCTGCCCTGCCCTGCCACCCGATACTCCGTGCCAGATAAGAGAAAGCACCCGGCTGGAATCGAGCCATGGACCTCC